ATCTATTAATTACTCCTAACGTAGTCACGTGACTATATGTTCCTTTCTTCTATATCCTATCTATAGCTAACCCCGCCACGGTATATGCCCGTGCCTTATATAGGAGCGTTCGTAATACTAAGGTATTATAATTTATTTTCTTAAAAATAAAGAAAAAAACCTTTTATTATTTATAATTATTAATTAATTAAAATTAACCTAGTTAAACTTATAGCTTATCTAGTACTACTATTTTCTAAAATAATAAGAAAAACTATAACTAAATTATTATATTAAATATAAACTTAGTCTAAATAAAAATCTATTTTCTTTTATATTTTATTTATTATTATATTATATTTCTTAATATTTCTTAGCAATTAGTATTTTCTTTATAATAAAATACTAATCTACTATAAAAGACTATATTTTATATTATTAATTAATTTATTCTTTTATTTAGATATATTAAAATTTATATTATTTTTATATAGTTTAAAATAACTAATAAACTTTTTTATTATTATTTCCTTTATAATAATCATTTTTAATATTTTAGTTATTTTAAGTTAAGTTATTTTATAAGGTATTAAGCTAATATAATACTTAATATATATCCTTTAACCTTTTCTACTTAACTAGACCTATAGTTACTTTCTTTTATATTCTTTATAGAGTAGTTTTATTATTTAACTTTTAGAAATTAAAATAAAGTACCTTTAATAAGATTTAAATCTATAATTTATATATTAATCTATATAGAACTTCTTAATATAAAACTACTATATTATATAAATATATATTATTTATATTAATATTATATTAATATTCTAAGTATATATCTATTTTTAAATAAAAAAAGTATTTTTAAGTTTATTACTAATAATCTTGATATTTATAACTTTATATACTAAATCTAAAACTACTTTCATCTAGTATACTATCTTTTTCTTTTACTAAATCTCAATATCTACTAAGGGTCCAAATAGTATTTCAACTAGCTAGAAGAATATTAGTAATCTATAAACTTCTACTAAAGTAACTACTACGAAGGATTACTTACCCAGCGGTCTAAACTACGTTCGTCATCGAACGACTGAAACTTATCATCTATACTGCCTATATAGTAGTAAGTACTACGAGCTTCTGGAGGTGTAACCAGAACTATACATACCAGCAAAGATGCGAGATACCCTAGCAACGTCCGGGTTTTCCCTGAGGGTACCCAGAAATTCGTGAACATTGACCGACGACCCGATCTGGCCGATCAAGAAATTTACGTCTACGAAAGCACGCTTAGCAAGCTAAATAAAAAAAATGCCAAAGAAATCCGAAGGGAAATGAGCACTCACAGTTGAGAGGATAATTGTTCTTTACCAAGATCTTCCCACAATTGATAATTACACTCGCCAGTGTGTTCTTGTTCTCGGAGTGAGGGATACCATCCGTGAAAATGGACACAAGCAGCGGCCTACTTAGCTTGCCCGACGCAAGCGGCTGAAACACCAAGGGCTCCAGGATACAATCTTGCAGCGACGTGCCGATGGGTGTTGCGCCTCTGGGCTCGACGGACTGGAGAACCCTGGCGACGCCCTCGAGGTCCAGGGATGGGGCTTCGTTAATTCTGTGGTTGATAAAACGGAGGGCGACGCCTTCGCCATCGGGAAGTATGCGTGTCACAGTCCTCGCAATAGACAAAGCGAGGCTCTTTTGGTTTTCCCATTGGGTGTTGCGGCGCATAGAGCGACTGTCATCTATCAAATTGTTAGAATGGACAACTTATTCGAATGTATCATGATTTATAGAACTAAAAAGTTACTCACCGCAGTAGATAACGTGTTGATGCATGGTTACTTTGATGATCTTTGGAAGAACGTCCGTGGTGCCGAGGTCTGTCGTAAGGTCATCGGCAAGGTCAAGCACCTTTTTTGCCATGTTTCGTATAAAATGATCCTTTCCGTGGAAAAATTCCCCCAGCTTAGGCGTGTCTTTGACGTAGGTCTCGATCATCTTGATGTAATCCTCTTCCCGGCGTCTTATGTCTCTACTAGCCTTTTCATCGACCAGTAGCTTCACGAACGCAGGACCGCTTCTAGCGGCGTATGACAACGGGGTTTCACCCAAGCTATCAGCGCAGTCAATATAAGCCCTAGCATTAAGCAGGAGCTTGGCCACTCTCTCATGCCCACTCTTAGCGGCCCATGATAACGGGGTTTGACCTTGACCATCCACAGCCTGAACATCAGCCCCAGCAGCGAGTAGGAGCTCAACCGCGGTCTCATGCCCATTTTTAGACGCCAATATCAGCGACGTTCGACCGAGAGTATCCTTGACATCAATATCTATGCCAAGTTGATCTGCCTGTTTTAGTATTTTGTGTAGCGGCCCCACTAACTGATATTGTGACACTAAATGCAGCATGCGAGTGCCGTCTGCTGGACAATCCACTGAGTTTGGCTCGACTAGATGGTAAATCCGTACCCATTGCTGCAACAGATCCTCTGACGGCCACATAAAATAGTCTAGAAGGTCGTCTTGGGTAAGTCCCATCTTCTCGCTCTGTTTTGCATGTAACAGCCACGATGTTGTGGCATAATGCAACAGTGGAAACGTGGAGATCAGATCTCCACGATCGTGAATTGTTGTTCGTATAATATCATCCATTGTCAAGTACCGAACGCAGGTTCTGGATAGTTCATAGTGTGCACTCGCTGCTACAGAGACACCAGGTTTGATGAATTCCGCAGGCATGTTGCCGCTGATGTTCGAGAGGTAGTCTGAGGTAAAGAAGTCATGGGCTGATGAGTGTATGAACCGTACTACCCGCGTATCAAATGACCTCACAACCTTAACAAGACCGCTGCTGACTGAATTCAGTCCAATCTCATCTAAACCGTGCTCAAAGCCCGCTTTAGACCATCGTGCTGGATACGGCATGTGTAGGCCGTTGACATGGCCGATTAGAGCCCATCGCAGCTCATCCAGCGTCAAAGGGCGGGTGGCAAAGCACATCCATTGAGAAAGCTTTATGAAGGCTGGTTTCTTATCCTGACCTAGGAAAAGATAGAGGTATAGCTGTTCCAACTCGTAAGGTATGGCACGAATCTTTTCCTCGATCCTACGCAGACTATCACCCTTCTGTTTACGATCGATAACATGCCCCATTAAAAGACACGCCCACAGAAAACTTCCATGGGCCCGACTTGTAATGTCTGCCACTATTCCCGCCGGAATATCTGTCCCTGGCAGGGCGGAAACTTGGGATTGTAAGTGAATCGAAATGTCCTGTGCGTTTTCGCGCACAAGGTTAATTTCGAACACGGAAGTTATATCCGGCCGCATGTGGTGACTAGTGAAGCATACATGAAACTGTAAGCCGGTATGCCGAAATTCCGGGAGTATAGTGTCGAAATAATTGACAAGACCAACGGCATTCGCATGGCCGCATTCGTCTAAAGCATCGACAAACAACCAGATCGGATGACTCTCTAATACCTTCGAGAGCGATAAGTGGAAGTGTTCTTGCAGCTCGGAAAGGTGCCACTGCCAGTTTTCGCCATGCTTTCCAAGAGCGTTGCTCCATTGCTGAAGCGTGATGAGGTCTGACAGAACATCGGGGACCTGGAGAAGGAGCTGATGGAGGAGCGAGCGGAAGAGGCCGAGCATTGTTCTTTGCAGTTTTGAGCCATGAGCATGGAAGAAGAACGAGAGTACAACGGCACTGCCTCCGGTGTTAGACAATAGAGTATTTTCGAGAACGTAACGTAGCAATGTCGACTTTCCAGCGCCGGTCATTCCTTTGATCAACAGCATGCCTTGATCACAAGTATCCCAGGCTTGGTAAGCTCGGTGCTGAAAGATCCATCTGCATGTGCCCTCGGTCGCCTTTTCAGTCTCTGTAGCCCACTGGTCCATCTCCGAAAAGGCTAGCGACTTGAGGCACATCTGGAACGGTTTTAATCTCTGATCATGTTCAACACTCGCATCGACGTCGACTTTTGAATACATTCCCCTGACGTCCGGCAGATCAGAGTCTTGTTCTATTCTGATCGACACCTCGGAGCTTTCAGCAAAATATTCCTCTGGAATAAATGTCATTTTGCTGCTCTCCGGTTGAGATGGCACAGGAAGAACACCAAATGTATCGATGCTGATTTTTCGGATATCCACGCCCTCTATTGTGCTCGCGCTCTCTCTAGCTCCCTCGACCCACTGCTCGATCCTTTGACGGAATTCGAGGTCTCGCAAACCTGCAAACCCTACATCTGAAGAATCAGCCCAAGGTAGAGCGTTGAGCGAGAACTCATGGATACAGTTGCCAAGATGCTCGAGATTTGCATCGGCATCTGGTACAGCGTCTTCACCTTGAGGCCAGGAACAGAGAGGGCACTGAGGAATATTTGGGAGTTTAATTTTGCGGCAGGAGGTTTGGAGATATTCGATTTGTTCGTTGGATATCGTGTCCTGGTGCTGGAGCTGATTGTGGCTAGCGAATTGCTCAGCAGTGAAGAATACATTCGGCGCTTCAGTACCGGCACAGGCTAAGCATTCCCAGTATTGTCCGGCGCTGTGAGATTCCTGGATGTGGTCCCGCCAGGCTGTCCGTGATACGTAGAGAGTGTTTGGTCTAGGGCATTGGAGAAAGGGGCATGTGTAGGGGCAGAGATCTTCTGTGAGATGTTTTCTGAATGTGTCAGCAAATCTTCAGCGTTTAGCCTGAACGGTGAGTATAGATGTCCTGACATACCTCCATCTTGAACGATCTCGAAACATTATTGGTAGTGTTTGAAAGCAGCAAGGACATTTAAAACCCCTCATCCCATCGGCCTTTGGAGCTGAGGGATAGTGCATCTTGGCAACAGATACTGATACGCGGCTACCTGCCGCTTGGGACGGGACTGCCAACTTCAATATGCTGCCTTCTGCTTTGGACGGTGTTGTATCGCTCATCCCTTGGACACCGAGGATGACCCGTGGAAGAGGCAACGGCTGAGTTATGCTTCGGGACTCATTCATGGGCGGCATTGGGTCAGCCAAGAACTCGGCTTTGCTCTCCGGAAGAATTGATCTCTGCCCCGGGGTGTGCATAGCCGGCTCCGAGATAGGTATCACAGGCGGTACTATGGCCCTGTCAAGTTTTCGCTGGTGTCGTCTCGCATATTCGAATCTATGGCGCCGCCGTAAATTCGCTAGGATCAGATGTTGTTGTTCCGGGGTTACCGCGCCGAGACGGCCATTAGCCTCCTCCATCCTCTGGCTGGCAGTGGCATTGTTATCTTCCACAATTCTTTGCCTCGCGGTGCCAGTCATGAACTCCAAATACGTGCGTAATTGTCGGTTGTCGTCAGAATTGAAGGAGCTGTCGGCCTTCTCGAGTCTCGCCGTGGTTCCCGATTTCCGAATCGCAAAACCGAGCATCAGAACTTGATCCAGGATGTCTTCAACGTTTTCCATCGCCATCTTCAGCATAATTTCTGAGTTTCTCGATTGCTGTTCGTCGGAATCGGCTCCTACATCTAGGTCTGAGGATGCGTTCGAGTTCGTCTTTGTGCCCGAAGTTAATGAGACAAACCAAGGTGCAGAGTTTGGAGCGTCGTCTGAGCCGTCCAGTGTCGACAGCAGAACATCATCCTCAGGAAACCCCGGTTCACTCTCAGGTTCTAGCTTGCCCTCGACCTCCTCGCCATAGATCTCAGCCGTGGCAATCATATGACACATGTTGATTAGGTCGTGAAGAGTGACAAGAAGACTAATTAAAACACGTCGAGGATGCGGCTGAAATTGTAACCGACTTTCGAGCGATACCTCAGTTCTGGCCAGGGCGCCAACGCCTGACGCCCACAGCCTCATATCGGCGAGTCGACTCTCTGCCCATCCTTCTACCATCAGAGGTTTTATTGCTAAGCAGGCCTCGAGGCTGGAGATACAGGCGACTGTTGCGTGATAAATGCCCCCTCGGGTGGACAAATCAACCCCGCCGGACATGATGGCGGGCGGGGAATATCAACTGCTGCTATAGATGTCTGCTGTCGAGATGTTTGCTCTGACTGATGACTCGGTTCGTGCCACCGTGGGATCTAACTAGCACAACATTCGATTCTTGCCGGACAAGTAAAACCTGTTCATTCAGTTGTGCGTTTGATGCCAAACGACGGAGCAGCGCCAGACTGGATGGAGAAGCGGGGTAAGCTACATTAGTGCCCAATATGTTGGCAGCGAATACGGTGCACCATTAGGACCGATTTTTATAAAGTTACTTTTTTATACTAATGCCCTGATCTTGAGTTTTTTGGTGACAGGTGACTGGCGACTCGGGATACATCGAAGAGAACCCACAGGGCTGGCCACGGTGGGCCATAGCGGGCCACAGCACAAAGTACCAGTCTATCCCCTGTCTATACAGCCAGTACAGCAGCCGTACAGTGGCTACAGCAGCCATACAGCAGCCGTACAGTGGCCAGTACAGAAGCTATACAGCCAGTGCAGCAGCCGTATAGCCAGTACAGCAGCTGTATAGTGGCTACAGCAGCCCTACAGTGGCTACAGCAGCCGTACAGCAGCTTAAGTCCTAAGTCACCAGATTTATAAGGAGTATAGGTGACTTATAAAAGGGTAGAGAAATAGCTCTTTTTATCTATATAAGATACTTTATTATACCCCTAATAGAAAAGGTATCTTATTAACTAGGGTTAGATTATAGCTAACTAAAGGGTTAAGTAAAGTAGTTAAAGTTATATTTTTATAAAGAAATATAAAGAAAACTAGGTTATATTACTAGTTACTATAAGTTACTTCTTATTAAAAAACTTAAGATAAGGGTATAAAGTACTTAAATTTATAATTTACTCTATATTATATTAAAATATAGTATCTTTAAGTACTAGTTTCTTTATAAAGAGAGCTTTTATTTTATAAAGATTTAACGTGGTTAATAAGCGAGCGGGCCAGATAAGTAAGCGGGCCACTCCACTAAGTTTTACTATCTTCTATCTTAGCACATATATTACTTAATAACTACTTATAGAAAATATATTAAAAGAAGTAAGAATTATTCTTACTCTAAAAGCTATTAAAAAAGATATTATATTAAGTTATAAGAAAGTTACCTTAATCTATAATATACTATATTTAACTATATAAGTATAATATACTT